ATATATATATATATATATGTAGGTGTGTGTTTTATCATCAGTCATCTATGTCGCTGCTCAGATCTTACCTTGCGAACCAGCTTCCTCCAAAAGTGCATGTGATATGTAGTTTATCGTCCGGAGGTATTCACAGTAAGCTTCCTGCAGAAAGACCATGCAGTATTTTATTATTATTTTTGTGATATGCAGTAAATATAACAATAATAGCTACTGCCAATAATGAGACAATAAAAATAGTATTTGCCATTGTTGCAAAATTCGACTAGTCAAGCTGAAAAAGCAGATGGTTTCGAAACAAATCTTCAGATAAAATCGACAGTAATAAATGATACATGACCAGGAGAGATTTCCATGCACTGCATTCATCAGTTCAGATGTAGTTAGAGTTAGTTGAAAGAGACAATGGTAGAGTGTAATGAAATGTCAATGTTTAGAAGTGGTTGTCCTGCTCTTTTACCTTACAATAGTGTGATGCAATTCTAAAAAAACAAAGGTCTAAAATTACCAATTTATTGTGTTGTGTTTTGTTGCTTGTTGAATTGTCTTAATTCCAGCATTTCTAAACACACTGTGACGATTGCAGTTACGGTTAAAAAGCTGGTAAAAAGGTGTTTATTTGTGAAAATTATCTTGCTGAACAAAACTTATCCGGCCGTTTCAACATTTACGTCCTACATTTTACACAACACCAGAACTAATTGTACTGACTAGGCACTCTTCTTTCAGGAACCAGTCGTGACTTTTCTGTTCTGTATTTACAGGTTAATACTGAATATGGGCTGTAACATATTTTAGGCTAAGTCACCATTTTAAGTTTGATGATAAACTGGTGACATGTCCAGCTGTACACTGCCTCTCATATTGGGATAGACTCCAGCCCACCCAGTGGGTATATGATGGATGGACAGACATTGTTTTACTGTACTGGTCCCCTGTATTTGTTCTATATCAAGATAACCCATTAAAAAAATACTATTTACCTGCACTGTATATACCATACGATCTAGGCTCTATGTGCAACATGAACTACACAAGCAGTTCCTGTACAGTTTGCTTTTCATCCCCGAGGTGAGTCATGGTAATAGAAGCAAGCCACCATTAAACATACAATCAGCCCTTGTTGCTAAATTTGATTAGTCAAGCAGAAAATGCTGTTTTGAACTCCCAGTTAAAAAAAGGTGTTGGATTCAATCTTGTAGAGCTCAGAAATGTTAAGAAGAAAGCATTTAGAGATGAAGATATGTAACGTTATTGTCAAATGTCCTAATAGACTTGATATTTCATTTACTTACATAAGTTATATAATTTACTTATGAGAAAGCCAGTACGTAGAATGGTAATATTTTACAGTATATTGATGAAAAACATGTAATTGTAATGTTTGAGATAGCGTATTGCGTCGAGCTATCTGACGAAATTTAACCTATTATGAAAGTTAATAACGATGTTTACTGCTAAGTTTTATTAGCATTCTAAAGTATTAAAAGTAACAAAGCGCTCGTGCCTTTGGAATAACATGCTAACTCCTTCTTTCTTAGAAAATTATATGAAGTGATATCAACTACAAAAGTAGTCAGTAAAAAAGAAAGGTAGAAGTTAGAAGTGGATACATTTAATGACAAGTAAAATGTATACAATAAATAATATGACGTTGAGTGTTGAATGGCTCTCGTTGGTCCTTTCAACATGAAAACAACGCACAACTTTAAATGACAGGTTAGCTAGCTAACCCACGAACGGTTCCCGCCCCCTTCCGTCTGTTTACATCACTACAGACTAGTTTCCTGTCGGGTTAAACCTTCACGTTATCGTTGCTGTCAAGCTGTGTCGCAGCACGGGTAGCTCTCTACCTTGTGTTTGTTCTCTCCGTCCAGCTGTATTGCTACTTTAGCCATTTTCATAGCATTTTGAAGGGGCTTCGCCCCACCGTCAGCTGTGGCCATGATTACACTGCACCGTCTTGTTCTTCTGCTTTTCCTCCTCCTTCTTCTTCTTCTTTGTGTTTCGTCACGGCAGATTGTAAACCCAGCTTAAAGGTGTATACTGCCACCTACTGTACGGTACTGGGAAGGCTCTAATTCATATTAATGAATGAATAAAAAACAAATTAAAAAGTAAACACCGATACCACATTATATAAATAAATAATCAAATAAATATGGTGGTAAAAGGTTTTTGCTAAATATTCAAAATGACTGAAAACATATGGTGGCTGTATTTGATTCAACCTATGACCTAGATTTCCACCAAATGTGATTATGCAATTTAATGATGATGATAATTGTAGTTGTATAGCCCATTTCAAGCAAGGCGTAAAAAATTCTCATAAATCCTTGCAAATAATAGAACAAACTGTATCAAATTTGAAATGATTTCGTCATTGAGATATTCTTTTGAACAAATGGAACTGAACTCCTTGGCATGGGATATGAAACAGACTTCATGGTGGGATTATTTGCAATTACACAATGTAGCAAGTAATTCTCGTTCATTCCTCACATTTTCGGGGCAAAGGCTGTGGCAGATGTTGGTGTATGGTGACCCATACTAGAAGATTGAACCATTTCAATCCATTTTAACATGCTGCAGTATTACAATTTACACATGTGGATATTTTCTTTTTTTTCTCAATGCTAACTTTCTGTGGTTACTTTTCTTAATATACTGTGCCAAATTATGCAGGCCCTAATTGACTGTGTGAACTTTGACCTCTTCTAGATCAGTGGTTCTCAACTGGTCTGGCTGCGGGACCCACCATCACCCCTTAATGACAAGCCGCGACCCACGACCCAAATTATATATAGATATATATATATATATATAGATATAGATATAGATATATATATAGATAGATATATATAGATATAGATATATATAGATAGATATATATAGATATATATATATAGAGATATATATATATAGAGATATATATATATAGATATATATATAGAGATATAGATATATATATATATAGATATAGATATATAGAGATATAGATATATAGATATATAGATATATATATAGATATATATAGAGAGAGAGAGAGAGAGAGAGAGAGAGAGAGAGAGAGAGAGAGAGAGAGAGAGAGAGAGAGAGAGAGAGAAAACACTTTTTACATCATTTATCATCATTTCATTCAGTCACGTGAGGCTGTTCATTCCTGATTGTCGGGTTTGATGAGTTTTATCATTTAAGAGAAACAATAATCATATTCTGGGTTATTTAATAATGACGTCATAATCTGAATTTCAAAACGTACAGATGCAAATAATTCATAAGACGATCGCATTCCGCCGGTAGAAATGGATCCTGAGCTTATAAACAGGACACAGTTTGTTAACAGACTACAGAGAGAAACACCTCTACAGTGGTGATTACTGTGTGTCTTTATTAGTTATTAGTAACTAGTATTAAGTACAGTGATCATGTGATCAAAAGTCTCTCCAGCTGTTAAAGCCAACTGACAGCTGATCCAGCTGTGATCAGCTGATCCTCCGTCATCAGAAACAGACATCGCTTCACCTGATGTGGAAAGGACGTCTCATGTCTCTTAAAACATATTTCCTCGTTCCTCTCTCCTCGCATGGTTTCCTCCATGCATCCCTGGTGGGAGGGACTAAGACGCAAGGAAAGGACCCAAGTGAGGGAAACGGATATGCAATTAAGAGACTTGGGATGTACCCCGTGTGTCACGGTGTGTGTACATCTCACTCAAATCAGGAAACTTGTCAGAATGCCCATATTTGATTGGGCATTCTAGATAATGACGTGTCTTGCATTCACTTGTAGACATGAGAAAGATAATTTAGGGGTTGAGTCACTGTGAGTAAAATGTTACCCTATAGGATTCAGTTCCTCTCCTTTGTAAGATGTGAAAAGACGTACTTTCCTGGACCAACTGCTAATTCAAAGATCCCACATTGTCAAAAGTGAGATTTTCGTGTCTTTTTTTTTTAAAGCAGGTCTAAGTGCTGTATAAATACAGAGAAACTCAATCCACAGAGAAATGTACACAGCCCACCATTCAGACAGGATTTCTGTACGGTTGTGATGTCACAACTTATACAATACATTAACCATGTTTAAAATGTAAACATTCTACATGTGTCCCTGTTTATTTCCAGCTGCAGTGCATGTGAATGAAACCAGCTGACAGGAAGAAAACGTGGACCCAAGCTGTTGCATAGCAATGCAATTCCAGTGAAACGAGCTCAGACAAAGAGTGAATACAGGTATATTCACACAGACAGTATGGGGGAAATAAAATGTTTTTTTTAACATTAGAGTGTAGACATGTTTGAGTAGAAACTCAACATACAAGTATAAACCTGGAAACATACATGATATGTCTCCTGTACAAAAAAATCTCTATAGCATACATTTCAATATGCAGGACTTTACAGTAAGGGTTGCCAGGTTGCATCGGCAATTGGCAACCAATTCTTGGCCTTTGGTTGACATCAGTGGCAACAACTTTAAATACATTTTAGATATGTGTTGCATTAGTGATATTTAAATATTGCTAGTAGAGTTAGAAGCAGAACCAGACAACGCTGCACGTTGGTGCTTTTACTCACGTGCTCTCAGTCATCTGTTATTGAGACAACACCTCGATATGTGACACAACTCGTGGCGGGCCGATGAACACCGCCATTGACAAGACTTTCGTAAGAACTGGCGTATAACTGCATAGTATCTCAATTACTCACAATATAAGGTGACTGAAAAATGGCAACCATATTGTTAGTTTTGGCAACCAAAGGCTGATCCCTTTAAAAGTTAGTGTTGAGCTCTGAAATCTCACAAATCTGATAAACTTCTTCAGTTTGATTAAGCGACATACAACCTGATATTCATCAGCATTTATTTTTCGTTTTTGTTTCATGAACGCATGCATCGATACATTTGGCAAAATGGAAATATGAAGAACAAAGCAAAACAAGGGTTAATCAGTAAAATTGTTAATGGTTGCACGAAGTAGAAAACGGCTGGAGGTTCAGTGACCATGAGGACGAGCACTAGATGACTTGCTGTCCCTTGAAAGCTTCCTGTGCCCAGTCCACAGTCTGGCTCATGCAGATCTCTTTCCCTTTGGCAGTGCTGACCCTGCAAAAAATAAATAAATCCATAGCAAGTCAGGGCCAGAAAATACATTCTTCCTTGAAATGTGATATTTATTTACTCATTTTCTTTATTCTTTTTGTTTTTATGTTCAAACATAAGGTGGTGTAGCATCATTGCTGTGGTGAGGGTGGCTCTAGTGACGGAAACCAATGTCTAACATACACAAATGCCTTTTCACGACAGCTGCTGTGGGTCTTGGTGACGGAGACGATTTGCTTGCGCGGCACCCTTCCTGTGAAGAATTTAAAGCAGCACGATCCAGGCGATATTTGGTTCAATGCATGAGCTGGAAAGACAAAAGAAAACCAGAATCAGTGGCAGAACACGCTGCCATTCACTGACCTCGACACACGACAAGTACTGAACAAAATGAAATCATTTAAAGCGACACATTTCATCAGGCTTCATAAGTTTGTTACATTATACATTTTCATTATCAAACCGTACAGATGTTTGGGGATGTGCATTCGCACTGTAAAAATACTAATACAAAATTCCCCCAAAAAACAAGTTTGTATTGTGTTGATGTAATTACCCTTAAAGGGAACGATAAATTGTGTGCTTTGACTTCACCTTTAGTTAGGAATTTCAGTAAACAAGATTGAACTCAAAGTACGCGTGCTCAAACAGTGATGGCAAAATACAGAATTATTATTTTTTTAAATACCAACTTTATTTTCAAAATGTTAATCGAAAGTTAACAGGATGAAAAACATTGGATAATCAGATAATTATGTAGACTAACAATCTATAAATGAAATTAAATAATGAAATAAAAAACTAAACTTACGCATGGCAGTGCAGTAGTAAACAGTGATCAACAGCAGGAGTCCCACTGTGAAGCTCAGAGTCCTCATGATGTCCTCGGTGTAGAAGCGATGATGCTCCTCTGTCTTTGCTGTCCGTCAAGTCATCTGCTCTGATCTCACTTATAGCTGCTCATATGTTCTCAGGATCACATACTTGGCGACTCTCAGAAAAACCACCAGAGTGGGCGTCTTTGCAATTTTGATTAACAGGAAGTCACCCATGCACTTTATCACACGCCGAGCAATAGATCTGTTGATAAGAGACATGAAATACATTAAGAACAGAAACTAACAACAAGATATACATTTATTTGATTGAGATCATAACTTATCCCTAAGTTATAAGTAACTTTAGACTGAATTCCATTGAAAAAGACAAGAGTTAAGAGAGAAGCAAGCTGTTACTATGAAGGCCTATGTGTTCACAAATGTTAAAGAAATGCCATCTTCGCATTCTAAAAGCATCAGTATGCCTTAAACCAAGTGCTGGTCAGGTTGACAAACATCATCTGAAAGCACTTTCCCAAGTCCTTTCTCATGGGGGCCAAAAATGATGTTACGGGTTAAGGTTGGGGATTAGGTTAGGGTTAGGGGTAAAGGTTGGGGTAATGTCAAGTCACCAGTTAACACGGTCACTTGTTAAACTGAAAAGCGGGTGGCTTCAACAAGCAATCACAAACCGCCGTACATCTGGTGCCAAACTGCGTGTGCACACTTACGTACGTCATCGTTGTTAACTAACAACAAAAAATACTAAATGTAGTATGCTAGGCTAAATGTTTTATATTAGGCCATTCTATGTCCTAATCCTTACATTATCATTCACCGCTTATCCTCTTGCTGTGAGAGAACAGTGCTAGCCACCACACCACCGTGCAAGCCCCAAGTAAATGTAATATAATCTAATCAGAATTGTCAAATTACTGACAAGATTGTAAAATAAAACGTCATGGTAAGATTCACCTTTTTAGGAGCAGGTGTTGTTGCTCGCTGCCTACAGTGAATAAAGAGACGTGCAGATCAAGTCGTGCATTGCACCACAGACCAGCAGCCTCTCCTGATAAGCATCAGGAGGGACAGAGGTTTAGCTGATGTGTATTAAAGTGTGGTTTACACAGAAAGATGCAGGAAGAACAGATGTGTGTGAGAGCGACAGACTTTTCACACATGATCACCGAGGTGATCTGTGATATGTTTGCCAGTCTTACTAAAAAAACCTCACTGATCTTATCACGACGAGAAAAACAGCTTGTGGTGTAACTTCGTGCAGGGGGAGCGCTGACAGAATGGCTGCAGATCTTTTCAATATTAGAACTTTACAGCGACTACAAGGAACTGGTCTCTGGCTCGAACTAATCCATCAAGAAGCACTCAGACAACAAATAGACATTCTAAGCGACTTGTCTAAAAGAGATTAGCATGGACAGAGGCACGTGTTTTATGCGATATCATTCTTTGTTATTTGATGTAATTCTGTGGTTTATAAGTACTATATATAGCCTAACTACATTTAGGTTATATATCGTGTACTAATCCATCATCACATATGCAGATTTTGGAACTGTGTATATGTGATGAAAGATTAAAGATGCACTTAATGTGCTGAATTCGAATTTTTCAGAGCGTTTCTATTGCCTCCACTGCTAGGCTGAACCGGCGCCTAGCAGCTAACGGCACAAACACAGCGCTGGCAGAGCTAACAGTGTTCACACTGATCAGCTGTGACCGCCGTATGAGCTCAGTGCAGAGCGGCGGCCGTTAGCTAACCAGTGGGGAATTATCTGCCAAATCTGCAGCTCTATGGAGCTTTTATAGCATCTTTTAGCTCATTGTTTGGTTTGATGGCGAACGTGCACTGTATGGTTCGGTTTCCAGCAAAATGGTTCTGATTAAAACCACAGCACACTACCTGTCCAGCTCTAAACCAGCAAATAGAGAAAGCCATCAGCAGCTAAAAAGTCACGTGTCTTTTTTTTTCTCAGGAGGTGGTGAAGACCAAAGCACATCTGAAACGAGAAGCCATTTTACATTCATCAGGTCATATCTGTTAAATCAAGGTCAACAGCATTTAAATGTGTTAAGTGTCGTAAGGATAAGGATAGGATGACCTGCCACATCTCTTCAAGAAGGGAAACTAAATTTAACAAATGAATAACTACGTGGAAATGGAGCTGAATCTTCAGAGTTATCCAGATTGCATCTCTTTTAATTGAAATCCGCCATTGCCTGTTATGTGCTAATTCGTAAAAGTTAACCCTAATTAGTCGAACTCTTCTCCTCAAAAAAACTCATCGTAAACGAACTAACAACACACATGCAGCGTTGTCTGGTTCTGACTGTAACCAGCAATATTTAAATATCACTAATGCAACAACTATATTAGAAATGTATTCAAAAGTTGTTTCCACTGATGGGGATCAAATGCCTAAAATTGGGTGCCAGGTTTTCAAAATGGTTGTCAATGGCAAACTGGCAATACTGTCGAGCCCCGTGTGGAAACATGACTTTGAACAAAATTACTCACAATCCAAATAACACCATTTCTTAAAGCAAGTTAAACATTTTTGGGAAACATACTTCTTTGTTTCCTGGCCAAGAGTTAAATGAGCGGTTTTTCCCAAAATATTTAATTACTCCATCAATGTATAGCACAGAACTCTATTTGATTATCTTTACTGTTACATGCAGCTAGAAAATCTTCCTCTTAGTACTTTTGTGTAGCATATGATGATCTGAATTGTTTACCTCCTAAATTTCTCCTCATGTTAGAGGGTTGAGCATGTTATAGATTGGAATATGATAAGTAAGATTCCTGCATGACAGAATGACCCCCACACACTGAATGTGTGGGGGTTGGTGTGTTTGTATACATTTATAGGAGCAGATGTCCAGGTGGCATTTGTCTCTTGAAAATAAACTGGTTGTTTGTGATGGAAAAGTGCAGGTTATGTTCATGAGCTCTCTGTCTGACACAGTGCACATACAAAACACACACGCACACACACAGCAAATTGACAAAAAAAAAAAAATGCAGAAGATAATAATAAAAAAAAAAGGTTTTTGAGGGTTTCAGGGTTTTGTTAGAAAATAAATACATACAATAAAATAAATAAATACAAACACAAAAAACAACCACTACATCATATTGGTTTCTCTACAACATGAGTCAGTTTCCCCCTTTATGCAAATCTGTGCGGTGCAGACAGAAGTGATGGAGACAGCATGATGCTCACAAGATCTTATCGCAGCTGTTTTCAGACGTGTGCACAAACCCAGGTTTAGCAGTGCATCTGTGACCCATTTACAGTACATCATCTCTGTGCATGCATTTGCAACCATACAGTTTATATACAAACATGTATATACATAGGCACATATATACACATATGCATATATATATATACATGTGTGATTATATATATACATATGTATATATATGTGATTATATACATATATATTAATTATATATTGAAATATTGTTACTACTATGAGAAACTGTTTCTTTACTGAGCACCATTGCTTTTTTCTCAAACTATATTCATTTAATGATAATTAAAGTTTTGAAATAAAAAATATCTTTCTATTCATAGAATATGGATTTTTCATTGAGGAAAAAAACTGAAATAGATTATTAATGAAAACAGAGCATTTGTTATGTCTTAAAACATGTCTGGGGGATCTTAAAATATAAAAAATAAGACGACAATAAAAATCTTTGTATTTCTATACACACCATTTGCATTTATTATTAGGGCCTATTTCTATTTATTAACACAAGTGCACATACATACAAAATAATATATTTCAGATTGCCACAACGAGCATAAAGGAGCATAAAACTGTGAGCTCGGCCTTATTCGAGCCGGTTAAAATCACATCCTCCATACTGTATGTCTGCATGAAGCCATTCATGATAAGCTTTTCCAGCAGCTAATAATGCCATGAAGATAACAAAGCCTACTCTCTACATGCATTCATTTGGAACATTGAATATGTAAAGTATGTTGGTCATGTTAGTTGTATTTCACTGGTTACATTATTTTGTATGGACGGCGGGTGGCGCTGTATCATATCTTCTCCTGCGTTTTGTTCCGGTAAATTAGCACTTCCGGGTTCTAGTGTTTACAACTGGGAGCCGAGCAGCGTTGAGACCACAGAGCTGTGTTCAGGCCCGTGAAAACATATTTTATGTTCAAAAGCAACATGCACTTGAGGTGCTCGGATTCAGACAGTCTGACGGTAGGCTGTGCCGCAGGGCTGCACCATTCAGAACGACGACATGACATTTTGACACTAGCTAGCAGACGTGAGCAGGCTCACTCAGGCTAACCAGCTAACGTTAGCTTGTTGAGATGAACAGCGACTCAGAAATTATGTCGTAACGTCAAAATTAGAATATTCCAGACTTTTTTTTATCTGTCGGTCTTACCGAAAAGCAATTGAAACAACGACGTCAATGTTGAAATGCTATATTTATCTTATTTACTGTTAGCGCGGTTTTTGAATGCAACTCCAACTAGTGTTATTTGTTTTTAATCCACTTTTCTTCTTTACGTCATATCATATTCATGAAACTGCACTGGATTTGCAAATATGGTCCCCAATAAATAGTGGTGCGGCAAAGAATAGAGTAATCAGACCAAGTGGTGTCTTATATGAGTAAATGCTGCTCGTGCCAAAACTACATTTTAACTTAGAATCAATGTATGAATGTTTAAAATAGGAAGAACGTATGTTGTTGCACGTAGGATTTGGGAAATAGTAGCTTGCTCCAAGACAAATAAGAAAATATTGTTGGACATATATACATATAACTAATATAACATGAGCTTTCATTTTAAGATTAGGCATTATTTAAGTAACTGTTTATTCTGCAGAAATTGATAAGATAGGAACTCATTGGAATTGGCTTGCTCTTTAAATCTCCACAGTGGCACAGGAAGCAGGGCTCCATCACCGGGATCAGCTGCTGAAGAGTCCGGGTTTAGAACTAACTATGAAGAAGAAAAGCAGACGTCCAAAGTCGTCGACTTCGCGACAGAGCAGCAGGACAACGGGGAGCGTCAGTGAGGAGGAGAAGAGGCCACCTGGAAACAGAGGGAGACCTCGGAAGACCGTCCCTGCAACCTCGGACAGTTTCTACCACGATGACGCTGCCGCAGAGGACAAGACCGCAGTCTGCAGTGTGACGGCAGCCGACGACTCACAAAAACATCCAGAGAGCAAGTCTAGAGCTTCAGGTGTGTGTCAGTGCCAGACCCTTATATTTGCCTTCTGTCTTCTTGAGATAGAAAGTCACACCAAACCCCATTCAATAAGAAGGCAGTTAATAAGTATAGCGGCTTTTTCTTTCTGTTCCCTCGCAATATTCTACTATCACCATAATCATGTGTGTGGAAATCGGAGTAGTTTTTAACGGTGTATGCTTATTGGAAGAGTCTTAATTTAAATTAAATGTCTTCAGCCATGTTTTGTGCGCGCATTTGACATAGACAAAGTAAAGTTTAATTTGCAGATTTATTTAAATGGAGTTCGCTCTGATATCCTTTTCATTACAGATCCGCTACTTGACTCGGTTTTCTCTTGGAGACCCATTAGCTTCTATTTGCAGATTTTTTGGCTCATGGCAGTTAAAAGAAACACTGACCTGTTACTTTTCCCAGCAGGCAGACTGTCAACGGCCATCTGTCGGCTCTGCCATGGGAAGTTTTCGCCGCGCAGCATGCGGCACGCTTTCGACAAGTGGCCTCAGGATTCCATCGGCATCGTCGACGATGAGTCGGACGCAGCGGCCCAGTCGCCCCTTCTGTTCCACACGGACTTCCAGCGGCTGGTCGGGGTCCAGTTGGACCGCGACACCCGCTTGTCAGAGTTCATCTGCAAGAAATGCCACTCCAAATTCTACAAGTGCCACGGCATCCTGCTCAGATTTCTGCAGAGAGTCAACCTCCCACCTGTTGGGAAAGAGAACCTGAAAAGCTGGTGAGTCCCAAGAAAAAAAAACAAAAAAAAAAAGATTCTCAATTGTTCAGGCAGAAAAATCTACAAATACAAACAACCGTTTGTTTCTATTTCAGTAAGAAGTGTCCAGAGGCCTCGGTAAACCACGCCTCAACAAGTAAATAAAAGCTTTCAACTCTTTACTTTTGCTTCCATCACATGAAACAAGTTAACCCATCGCATTACTCTGTTGGGGACATTCTGCTGTTCTCCTTTCAGCACCACAGTCCTTCACCTCAGACCCCGAGTGCCTCCACAGCCTGGTGTCCTGGGCCCACCACCACGGAGAGGCCTGCCGCTCCTGCCCCAACCTGAGGGAGGTGCTGGAGGACCGGTGCTGGGGCTCCGTCAAGGCCGTTTGGAGCTGTGTCGACGGCCACAGGTATGTCATGGATGCCCAGTGCGCTGCCGCCGCCAACCCTGGGTACGCCATGGACTTATACGGTGGAGCGTTGGTTAGTGGCAACGGTGACAGAGCGATGTCGGAGGAGGAGGAAGATGAAGAAGGGCAGCCCAGCGGGAATGGAAGTATAAGCACTCTGGCTCAGCACAGTCCACCTGCACTTCCTGTACAGACTCAGAGCTCAGCGCTGGTGAACTGGACCGGCAACACAGGTGACTGTTTATCGCTCTCGTTGTCCCTAGGAGGTTTGAAGCAGAATCTTCCATAGATAAATGTCTGAATGGCTGCCTCTTTCTTCTTTTTTTCTGAGGATCTGTGATGGATGTTTTTAGAGTATTTTTCATGAACCGGTAAAGCAGAGATATGTCAATAACCTGTTCTTCTACTGCGGTTGCTGACACAGATGATTGTGTGGCGTCTGTATGAACCCTTGTATTGACACGGTTGTGGTTTCCCCTCCATTAGACTTCACAGGTCCCGGGGGGGCGTTGTCTCCGGTCCAGCTGGAGGACAGGGCCGCTGACAGCGATCTGTCCGACAGGTCAGACACAGTTTATCTTCCTCATCTGATTCTGTCTTTCCTCTCGTCTGGTGGGTGATTTCACACCCGTAGTTTGGGTCCGGACCAAGTGGGCAAAAATGATAGGTTGTTTTAGTTCTGGTCCGGTTCCCGTTCACACTGACTTCTTGCATGACCCCAACCCAACGAACCAAGAGGGTTAAACGTGACGTAAACAGACGAACAGGTAACTCATTGATCGGACAGTTTTGGCGATTGTCACCCTGCATCATCAGGACCCACGTTGAGAAATCAAATGACTGGCAGAAGTTAATGCAGTACTTTAATACTTGTGATGTGTTTATTTTAGTGCTGGGCAAGTTAACGCGTTAATTTCGCGTTAACGCATTCATTAATTAACGCCGACAATTATTTTATTGCGCGTTAATGCATTTTTTAAATTTATTATTATTATTATTTATTCATTCATTTTTTTTTTATTGAAAGACAAGAGACAATACATAGACATAACAACAAGAGGATGACAAGAACAGTGGGATAAAAGCCAGCAAACATCCTATAGTCAGTTGTGTGTGTGTATGTCCTTGAGCCTTTTGAGATGGGGGGGAAAAAAGAAAAACAGGTACGTATTTTTAATTTATTATTATTGTAACAGACTGTCTCATGTTTATCGTTTTGTATTGGAGATATGATGTCCCTTCAGGGTTGCCGTAGAGAAAAGGCGACTTCCGCTTCTGGTCGAGGGGGGGGGCAGAAATAAAGAGAGAAGCTGCACCAGCTGTTGCTCTCCCTGGAGACTACTGGACATCGCTGCGGTAAAGTCAGCAGACACTCAGATCTCCGTGGTCAACTCAGCAGACACTTACACTTTAGTGCACCTATATGCTGAAATTCACGGTAAACGCATTTAAACGGCACAGATCAGGAGCGAGCGAAGGACTTTGAAAGTTAGCGGAAACATTAACGTGAGACAACATCCGGTTTCTTCAGATGAACATCCGGTTTTCAGAATAAGATGCCAACAAAGTATGAATTATATTCACATTAAGTATAAAACATGCTACCTGCATCTCGTGAACCAAATGTTATTTCACTTTTGTTCATATAGCAGTACTTTTAAAATAAAAGTGCGCAATACACTACTTTTGAATTCATTACTGAACTTTGACATAACAATGCGATTAATCGCAAAAAATCCATGCGATTAATCGCGATTAAATATTTTAATCGTTGCTCAGCACTAGTTTATTTATGTTCTTTGATTAATAACTGATTATAAGCATTATTTGGCTGCAGACCGGCCGCATGTTATAATGAATAACAGTAGAGAGAGGTCTGTACAAAAGTCCCATTACGTGCTCCAAGATGACGAACGTCAGGGAGCGCACAGACACGCAAATGAGGCGTATTACTGTGGGATCACTGTCAGACTTTTTTAATGGAGAACAGTTTTTGACCTATCCATCATTGAAAAATACCCGCGCTGACTCATATACATGGCCTTAAATACAGATAAGTTCAGCTGATAGATTCATTAGTAATTTATCTTTTCAAATCATGCTAAAGTCCCATAGTAGCTATTATAAAACCCTATGGTTGGTTTGTTTTCACGCCACAAATAAACCACACAGAGTCCGCTTGGAAGCAGTTGTTTGGTCCGCACCAGGCAGCAACCTCCGGTTCTGAGAAGTGAAGCCAATGAGGAAGTGGCTTATACTGTCACTTTCTCATTTCCATCAGGGGGCGACTCCTGGTTGCATAGAAGTCTATGAGAAAATTACTCCACTTCTCTCTTGATTTATTACCTCAGTAAACATGAGTTTATGGTCTCAATCTCTAGTTTCAAGTCTTCTTCAATACAGCATGATGTTCATTTCGTAAATTAGGGTCCATTTAGAGTAAAACAGACCATAATGCAGAGTAGGCTTAAGGGTGGGGCTACCTTGTGATTGAGAGGTCGTTATCAGAGCCGTATACAGCGTTTCTACATCACTTTTTTTCACTGGTTGCAAAAAAACAAGATGGCGACGGCCAAAATAACAAACTTCCCCATGACCATGCTCACTTCTTATATACAGTCTATGGTCCACACCGGGGTTTGATTGACAGCTTTCACACCAGCCCAAACGGACCGTACTAACCGGGAAAACAGATCTGACTTAATTTGAACCGATCGAAACGGGCTCGATGGGACAGCACCATTATAACCATACATTTGTGGGAGAAAACCTCCATATCTGTAGTTTTTGGGTGCTTTGCAGCTTTTAATGTGATCAGATTGAGATTGATAAAAAGGCCAGAACTTCTACAAGAACTCTACCTGTGTGTGTGTCTGTTTGTCTCTAGGTTCATCTCCGAGGATGACTTCGAGGAGAGTAGAAAAGGAGGGTTATCAGACGACGAGATGTTCGAGCCCTACTCAGACAAGAGGTGGGTGCAGGTGTCCTTCAGCAAAAGTTGGTCTTCTAAACAGCCAAGACGGACTGAAAGTTGAATTGTGACAGAGACCTAGGTACTGTGTTAAATGAACCGTTGTGTCCCAGAGCTCGCAGGGTGACCGTCCCCAACAAGAGAAGAAGAAGCACGAAGGCCCTGGTGGAGCCCAAAATAAAGAAAAAACCAGGACCCAAACCCGGCTGGAAGAACAAGCTCAAACCGAAAGGGTACACAGCTTGAGTCTTCCATTTCCTTTACTACACATCCTCCATTCAGCAGAAGTTAAATATCATATTTAAATATGTAGTTTCTCAGTTGGAAGCATTTTATATAAAACAAAAGAATAAGAGAGAATACACGTGCATTTACAAACTACTTGTTTCAGAGAGGAGCTGCCCAACATCTACAAGTGTCCGTATCAGGGCTGCACCGCCGTCTATAGAGCTCCGGATGGTCTGAAGGTCAGAATTCATTTCTGTTATTTAAGTGATACATGCTATTAATTGCATCAGTGACTGTGTGTATGTTACTATAAGGAATGCGTCGGTACAGTAAAAGAATGATATGCCATATGGTGGATAGAAAAATACATATACTATTACTAATATACAAATGTATCACTTTTTTCATCATTATTTGGATGCATGTGGATGTGACATAACTTGTTAAGAGAACAAGAACAATATTGTTTCAGTCGTTTTATCTCTATAAACTGATTCTGCAGTCATATGCAAAACAGGATTTTGGTATCTTTGTAGTCTGCGCAGTATCGACCAATTGGAGCAGGCTTTGGTCGAATGGAGGAGAAACGGTCCATGGAAAAAAATAAATCTATAAATGACTGTCTTTTCCTATGGGGGGCTGTTTAGAAGCACATCAAGGAGCACCACGAGGAGGTGAAGGAGCGGCCGTGCCCTCATCCCGGCTGCAACAAGGTTTTCATGATCGACCGCTACCTGCAGCGACACGTCAAGCTCATCCACACAGGTGAGCTCAACAGAGAGAAGGGTGTCGTTCATCTCCGTCCGGCTCTCTTCGGGTGAACTCGGCTTCACTGAGCGCAACATTGGCAATCCTTGAACGAAGATGTTGATCACTCGGCTCAGTTAACTGAGGAGAAGTTAGCAACTAATTTGGCTCGGGCTCTTAAGGCGGCGCTGGCTTTGGAGGTGGACCAGCTATTCTCTGCTTAATGATAACGCTCATCCGAGTTATGACTTTCAAAATGGAATCTACAAATACTAACCATTAACGGAAGTTACTACGAGCAACCACGAACACATTCGGCTGAGAGGCACGAGTTAACACGGCCACTCGTTAAACTGAAACACCTGTTGCTCTGTCGGAGTTCTGGAGAACTTTAGTCCGCTGTTGGGAAACCGATTCAGACATTTTGATGCAAACCGTTTTAATTCAATGTTTAAAGTTTGCCAATTCCTCTTGACGGCTGGAGCAAAACGCCACTTCTATTGCCAACATGCGCGCGCATATTTTCGATGACTTCTGCTGTAAAAGGGTTTTTAAGAGCCTTTAACCCTCTGAACTCTAAACAGTCCTGTACCTCTATGGAAACAGCACAAACATGTCTTTTGTGCAGTACGACACAGTTACCATGCCATAAATCAGAAACATTTTTTTTTATAAAAAGTTCAATTTATTTGATAATTTATTTTACAAAAATTGGCAAACAATGGAATCTATAAATTCAACATTTTTCCAAGTTGCCACAAGAGTTAAATGATCTCTCTCTCTCAGATATATCGAGATATATATCTCGATATCGATATCGAGATATATATCTCGA